TAATTACTGCCTTAAGAATTACTTAAGGCCGCCCCCCCCCCCCCCCCGTTCTATGGGGCGTGGTGCAGTAGAAAATGGAGGTACAAAGATGGGTGTACCACCAATCGATGCGTAAGAAAGTGCTCTTTCAGACAAGACTATGCCCACTTTAGTGCCATGATTGGCTGCTTAATGCCAGGCCTTCCTTTGTGGAGTGACCAGCGCGTCATTTATCCTCGTAGTTTTGTTAAGGGACCTAAAACCCGCCTCCCTTTGAGGAGCTGTCACAAAGTCATTTTTCGACGTACAGGGACGATACTTATACCGTTCGATGCGCAAGAAAACAACCTTTAAGATGAGATAAGAAACAGAAAAACTCAAAATTTTCAAATTTTAGCTAGGGCGGTCCCCTTAAATCATCTAAACCCATTAAATCATCTGTTGTGGTGTCTTAGTTATCAAGTAATACGAGGTGTCAAATTTATAGAAAATGCTTTATCTTCAATGCACTTTTCAAGATAGGGCCTGTTACAGGAGACCCATTGGGGTCAGTGTCCATTGAAGTTACCATTAGAATGAAACTATTTCCAAGCTGGTTAATAGAAAGCTGTTTCAATTCATATGATATGTTTTTGCAAAGATTATAATAAATAGGCGTTTAGAATATTGATACTGACCTAGTTGTTAAGAAATTAATATTTTATTAACTGGCATTCCAAGAAATCAGATGGTTATTGATTCACCCTATCTTCTCTTTAAATTTGTACAGCCAGAATGATTGTTAGCCAAGAAATTTTGACTCATTCTTCTCAAAGTCTTCTGCAACCCAAGTCCCACAGTAACTAAGTTGAAATTTGGGTAAAAACCACATGTGAAGTGGGCAAAAATGTCAGTGAATCAGGGCTGGCCAATTTCACCAGTTTCTATGGCCTTTTCTTAACTTCAGTAAAAAAATAATTAGAATTACCTATTTTTATTGCTTTTTAAAAAAATCACTAGTGAAATGATCATTTTAACCTGCAATTTTAGGAATCGTTTGACCATTATTCCAAATTAGTCTAACTGCAACCAGGTTTCACACATTGGCACAGACATATATAATATTTGGGATTGTTTTTATTAGCCAAGATACTTTCAGACCATTGCAGTTTAGTTGATAGATTTCATGATGTTACTAGTTCTGGCATGGAAGATATCTACCATTCAAGCCACAAATAGAGCTTTCCCACCATTTTTGAAGCCATGAGATTTCTGATAGATGAATTATCTCCTAATTATTAATAAAACTACATGATTAGACTGCAAGATTCTTAATGTTTCAAAAATTTGTCACATTGGAACTACAAACTTTCATAAGTTAGAAAATTCCAATCAACCTCTAGTTAAGTTAACTTTAGTAAATTCACTAGGGCACAGCATGGAATTTAGATTCAAGTCATTTATTTCGTCTTTTTTAGAAAATAAAAAGATATATTGTTCTGCATTCTTTTAGGAGATTGGAGTTGCCTTAAATCTGCATATTCATTTCTGTATATACGTATTACTTCAATTCTGAGTTGCAATGGTTTTTGATGCCTTCATCCATGCAGCATACTACTGCACGCATGAACCTGTCAAAATTTTAATGTTTTATAATTGTGGATTTTTTTCATTTGAAAACCTGCTAAATGAATAACCTTCAAAATATTTTCCAAACAAACAATTTTCAGAGTTTGCAACAACAGCAAAGCCTTTGAAAATTGCAGAAAACATTAATTTCAGGCTATCAGCATAATTTTGACATTATTGTCAAATTTTTTAAAGTGCATTTATAGATAGTATCTTTGGTATCAAGTTAGTTGCAGTGGAAAACCTAAATGTTAATCATAGAAGAGAGAGTACAGTCATAAGATATTTATGACCATATTTTACCATGTTAATGCTGCAGATACTTTTTTAGGGTGCACAGCCATAAGCTACAATTTA